TAACAACGACAACAAAAAAAATAAACTATTTTTGGTTTTAAAAATTTTTTTTTTTTTTTTTTTGTACTTGTACTTCCTATTTTTTATGGTTTTCTTTTTACTTTTTTTTTTTAACTTGAACTTAAACTATATTGTAGGGTCTCTCAAAATGTGATAGCCAGTTTCCTGACTACCTAACATCTTTCAAGACCCTGTGCAAATATGTGCCCTGAACTGTGCCATGCTGTACCCTATACTAATACTCCACTAGTGTGTGGTAGCGACGGAAGCAGTCCTTGAGGCAGAGACCAAGTTGGCCAAAACAGGACCAAAAAAGCGGGTGTCACACCTAATTCCATGTCTGCTACAGATGCATCTTTTTTGGGGTGTCCTTTGGGTTGGGGTACCAGGAATGGCATTGGGGAAAATGTCTCTCGTGCAGCCGGCTAACTGCATCTGTGTTGAGGGTTTGGGCTACAGCACCTTCTGGATACAAAAGGGCCGTGATGAACTCTTCCAGAATTTTAGGAAGGATCCACTTTGTCCAGTTGCTTTGTAAAGCACAAAAGCATTATATAGATCCAATTGAAATAGACACTTTTTTGTACCAGTGTCTGGCTTTTCAGGAAACTAAGTTCGGCTTCATCATCTAGTTGTTTAAGTCCTCCCCTCCCATGTTAAGGTTATAGTTGTGGACACAGAGGGGCTTCTCAACAACACCAGCTACCGTGGCAATTTGGATGGTTGTGTCTGCGTGACTTTCACAGTCAAGACAAAAACATCCCGTTTGTCCTTCCACTTCACTGCGAGCAATTCCTCATTTCTCAAGCAGGCTTTTCCCCCCTTTCTAAGATGGGTATTTAAAAGCCGTTGGGGGGAACCCTGGCGATTAGGTCGCTCGGTGCCACATGCGCCAATTCCAAGATTGTACAAATGTCTAAATAGTGGCACGCTTGAATAAACATTGTCCAAGTGGTACCCCATATGGAAAAAGGATGACAAGTCCCAAACTATCTTGCCACTGCTCCCCATGTAGTCTGGGCATCCGGGGGGCTCAAGGTGACTGTCTTTTCCCTCGTAAATCCGAAACTTATATGTATAGTATCCCAACCACGGCACCACCTGCCTGGAGTTTGCATGTTCTCCCTGTGCCTGCGTGGGTTTCCTCTGGGTACTCCGGTTTCCTCCCACACTCCAAAGACATGCTGGTAAGTTCATTGGCTCCTGTCTAAATTGGCCCTAGTATGTGTATGTATGAATGTGAGTTAGGGACCTTAGATTGTATGAATGTGAGTTAGAGACCTTAGATTGTATACCCCTTGAGGGTTAGGGATTGATGTGAATGTACAATATATATATGTAAAGCGCTGCGTAAATTGACGGCGCTATATAAGTACCTGAAATAGATAAATATAGCCTGCTGCCCTCTCACATGTGTTACTGTATACATCTTGACCCCATATCTGGAACGCTTGCTGGGGAGAAATTGTTTGAATGCAAGGCGGCCAGAAAAGTTAATGAAGGACTCATCAACACAGATGTTTTGCTGGGGAGTATAGACATCTGCAAATTTTTGGTTAAGGTGATTTATGAGGGGAAGAATTTTGTGGAGCCAATTCAGGGTCACCCCGAGGAGTGTATTGTCATTGAAATGCATAAAACGCATTATACTCCGGGAAAAAAGTGAAGTCTTCAAAAGATTCATTATGCCTCCTAAAAATACCTCAGGGTGTTTGCTTTCCAAAAAGCATTCATTTTGTGGGTGGTTGTACTGTCCTGGTGCTCCAGGGCCTCCAAAAATGTGAAAGGTAGTCAGGAAAATAGATGTATGCAATTATAAGAGTGCCCATGATGTGTGTTAGAAATATTTTAATTGAGAACTTTCTGAAAATCCATTTTCATTTTCTTTCCTGAATTTTCCAAAAACTTTTGGCAAAAAAAGACATTTTCAAAAGACTCACTATGCCTGTCAGAAAATACCTTGGAGTGTTTTTGCTTTCCAAAATGGGGTCGTTTTATTGGTGTTTCCACTGTCCTGGCTCCCCAGGGCCTCCAAACGTGATTGGTAGTCAGGAAATTAGATGCGCAACGTGTGTGTAATTTATGCTCCTGGAAAGCTAAAGGTGCTCCTTTTAATTTTGGTCTCTTCTAAGACTCTAGGCTGTGAAAAAGTCTCACATACATGGTATCCCCATACTCAGGAGACATAACAGAATATGTTTTGAGGTGTAATTATAAGTGTGCCTATGCTGTGTGTTAGAAATAACTTGTTAAAAATGACAACTTTCTGAAAAAAAAAAAAAATTAAATTTCTTCATTTTCTAAAAAATTGTGACAAAAAATACAGCTTCCAAAAACTCATCATGCATTATACTAAATACGTTGGGCTGTCTGCTTTCCAAAAAGGGGTGTTTGGGGATATTTGTTCTGCCCTGGCATTTTAGGGCTTCATGAAATGAGATAGGCAGCCAGTAAATCAAAAATGATTTTTTTAAATGTAAATACCATAGTTTTTAGACTCTATAACTTTTACAATGACTTGGGTTATTTTTCCTAAGGAAATTTAGCAGGATTTGAAAAACTCTGTTTTGTGTCGAAAATGCATGGTATTTTTTTACTTATATAGCAAAAAAATAAAAAATAAAACAATAGTGAATAAATGCTACCAAAGAGATCTCGATCTGTCTAAAAAAAAAAAAAAGATTAAAAAACTGTATTTGGGTAAGGTGTGACTGAGTAATTGTCTTTCAAAGTGTGAGAGCACAGAAAGCTGAAAATTGGTCTGGACAGGAAGGGGGTGAAAGTGTCCAGTATTGAAGTAGTTAAAAAAATGAATAGTGCGATATGCTGTGATATTGTTGCATTGGCACTGCAGGCATCCCACAGCACATCATCTGCTGCGATTAAATGCAACAACCGGATGTGACAAGACCCTAAGGATAGGTTCACACAGCAAAATACACGCCAGCACATGTCTGACATTTGCTGACAGTTTGCGGTGCAGTTGTGTGTGTCCTGCGATTGTGTTTTTATGCACTTTGCAGAGTTTTTATTTTTTTGCTACTTTTCTGATAACAGTAACATGACTTTCTTTTGACACAACAAATACCGCAGTGTCACGACTCATTGTGAACTGACACAGTAGAGACTGAGGCTTTTTGCCCTGCCCATGCGTTGGAACTGCATTGACTTGTGCAGCCCAAACATTGCAGTGTGAATAATCCCCTACACATATCTATGGGGACACAGGCAGGTTTGGAACCTTCTTCACTATACTCTGTGCTGAATTTTACTGATGGAGATTGTCCAGCTTGAGTCTCCTGTATGGAGAAAGGGAAGGATCAGCTTCAGTTCGCACTGTGAACCACATGTGAATTGCACAGCATTCTTGTGCAAATCACATGCTATTCTGCGCAGTGTGATTTGAGTGCATCCATTTTAAAGTGTTACTAAACCACCAACAGTAAAATCAGTCTGTATGTGCAGTAAAGCATGCTTGTTATACTCACTGTGGAACCTAAGGGGTTAATCCTCTGTATTGTGTAAAAAGGCCATTTGATCCTGTCTTCACTGGTGTTCCTCTTGTTCAAATGCCCAAATCTTATCTCCTGATAAGACAGAACTGAACCCATGGCCCTTCTGCACATGTTCAGTTTAGTGTGTATTGCTAGAGAGGTTTTTTTTTTTCCTTGGGAGAGTGCATGTGATCAGCACAGGGTCAATGAGCCCTGTCCAGACAGAGATCAGGGGTTCTGCATCCTCCTAGAGCAGAAAGAAAACTCCTACAAGCTATAACTAGTGCTTTGCTGAAGTCACAAGACTTCTCTAACTGCTGATGAGAAAAGGTATTTAGCAGTTTATATTTACTAAAATAATTACTTTTCCATGTGGTGTGTATTGTGGGAGCAGGGGCGGACTGACAACTCATGGGGCCCCCTGGCAATAGGGGATCATGGGGCCCCTGTGTCCTTGCCCAAACTCAAAGCCTATGAAAAATGTACCAGGGGCATCTCATGGGCCCCCCTACTGACCCCGGGCCCTCGGGCACCACCCGAGTTTCCAAATGGTCAGTCCACCCCTGTGTGGGAGACCAGATATAGTGAATGCAGGGTCCTGGGTTTAGTAACACTTTAAGGACTCAAGTTGCACAGCATCTGCATCAAAAAGGTGCAGGCAGTTTTTTTTGTAAAATTTGCACTGGAACTGGATCACAGGTGTGTTTATAACCATTGTGATCTGGTCCAGGCAAAAGCATTGCATTTACGACCTGCTTTAGGGTGTCATTACCTTTCCACTGACACCTTCAGCAAATCGCAGAACAAAGTGCAACTGCTTTGTAGTGCAGGAAATGCACAGGAATTGCTGCGTTTCCCACACCACATCAGTAGTGAACTAGGGCTTAAGAGTCCTGCTGAGACGGTGCTATCCTTGTTATGTCTGTGGACAGGTCTCCCTGCTTATTATGTAAAGAAATGTGTACATCAGGCACTGCAGATCGGGGCTGGGAGGAAGGGTGGGCTACCCTGGGCGCAGTGGTTTATTGCAGGAATGGTGCACCTTGTGCCGAGTTCCTTCTGTGACACGGCTGACAGGAGTGACAGCAGCATCACTACTCCTGTCAGCCCAGTGCTGGGAGCAACAAGGGGAGAGCCGGGAGGAGGTGCTGTTTGCGCACCCCTTAAGCTTGCACATCATGAACGGGGGAATATTTTGGCCCAGGGTGTTGGGTGACCTTGTCCCAGCACTGCTGCAAATTACACAGCTAGATACACCAAGTACATTCCAGCCTTCGCAGGGACAGTGTGATGCCAGGCTCTGAGAGGTGTACTGATACAGTGTGGAGGTGATTCCCTCGGTCTCCGCTAGTCTGCAGTGTTGAGTTCACGGTTCTGATTCTTCGCCTGGGATGACGTCACGAAGTGTCGCTGCAAGGAGGCAGCAGTGATCGGACATGGCAGTCTCTGGTACTGAGCCGTGATCTTCCCACCGATCCCCGACTCGTCTGTGCGAAGGGATCCTCCATGGAAGAGGCGGCGGACCCCTACCTCCCTACGATGGGGGTGGTGATGACATACCACTGCGGGAGCTCCATAAGAGAGGTATGATCGGCGGTATGGAGGCTGTTCTCTGTGATCACAGGCTGATCGCTTATGTTGCCTTGGTGTAAAAATGGCGATCCGCTGATGACTGTGCTCGGTCATATGTGGGATCACCCGAGTGGCGGAGTCCCCGGATCTTTGATCTACCTCCCCCGGCCCTGTATTATGTATGGGGGGAGGCGGATAAGAGCGGCCCCGGGTACAGCACTGGGATCATCGGGGCAGCTCAATCGATTCACACTGAGCCCAGTCCTGTCCATGGCACAGCTCCCTCCCCTCCTCTTCTGTGCTCCCTGCCATCACATTCTGGAGTCTGGATTGCCTTGGCACCATTAGGGTGGATGACAGGACAAGACTTCCCAGGCCAGCTCCTGGAGGGCTCATTCACAATTAAACTGATGGTGTGCTACACGTTCTGTTCACATCACAAGACCTCATTTACACCAGCTTCAAAATGTGGCATTGGACATGCTTTTTCAAAGGTCTCTAAATGGCAATCAATGCCCCTGTCACTGAAATGGTTAGCTTACGCTCCTGTTTACACATTGCCCTTTGCTTCAAAAATAATACCCCCATGTCACTTTCTTGGTGCCTCAAAGTGTCTCTAAAGCTTCCATAGAAGTCTGACAGCTTGCTAACAGCTCCTGCAGTTTTTGAGTGCCTTTTATTTAAAGTTAGCTTTGCTTTGTTTTGGAGGTATTGCAGGTATGCGATATCCCAGGATGCACTGGGTAACCAACAAGCCAACCAGAAAGACTTCATCAGCAGGCACATCCGTTCCATGTGTATAGTTTCTGGAAGTGTCTGGTGCAGTGTGGAGCAGCAGGAAGGTGAGTGGGCTCTGGATTGGAGCGGAGCAACTAGGATGTGGCATAGGTGTGTAACATGGGAACACTATAGTGGAAGGAGAGCTGGGGCTGAAGAGAGAGAGGACTAACTGGCAGAGGATCAGCAGAGCTGGGGGACCGGATCAGGAGAAACTAGAAATGTCATGTGGTGTAAGGGATCTGCTGAGCTGGGGTTCTACTGGGCCCCTTTAAAACAAAATGAAAATCAACACACACGGCATTTGCCAAGCTTCATTAAAGCATAAAAAAAGCATGTTCAAGCGGTAGGCTCTTTAATGTGTGTTGAAGGAAGTATAAATGAGCCCTAATGCGGTGTTCTGATTTTACACGGCACATCACATCTCACCACAGTATAACACAACACACCGCAGTGCAGAGTTTTAGATGAAGTGCTATTTTAGGACACTTCAATAAAGTAATAAAAAGAGAAAAAAACTAGGAGCCCATTCATACATGTGTGATCACTGGTATTTTTTTACATTTGATTATTACCAATGATAAGATCAGGTGTATTCAGACAAATGTCCAAACACACCTGAGCTCATGCCAGATCATCCAAACCCACTTGAGCTATCCCGCCAGGAGGCTATCAAAACAGCCAATCATAGGCATATATGTAGCTGTGGGGCAGGGAGTGCCTCCGCTACCTATGATTGGCTTCCTGACGGGATAGTGCAAATGAGTTCAGACTTGTGTCCAAACATGAGCGAATACAGGAGGTCAGTTACTCAGCACAGGCGCCATACAGAGAATTGTAAGCATTCTCTGATTTGAACGACGTCACATCTCCACCTCATTCAATCAGACAACGCTTTGCATTTGTTCAGAAAATGCAAAGCATTCACTTAATAGCGCCCATGCTGAGTAACTGACCTCCTGTATTCACAATGCAGGAGAGCAGCCTTATGGTACGGAACCCATAAGCAAGATCACGCGAGTATTTGTGTCTGAGTTCAGCTTCCAGGTTGATCAGCCAGGTATGTAATATATATAGTTAGGCTTAGAGGTAACTATTAGGACTAGATCCAATGTGCCTAACATTTAACTCTAACCCTAACATGCGGCTTTGGACACATAAAGGTTCCTGCACTACTTTGATGTGACTGTGATGTTATTTGAGTGCCAGAAAGTGTAAAGCCGCACTACATGAACAGAATTGTCATACTTTCCTATTAGCAAAAAAAAAAAACAAAACAAAGCAAAACGCATAAAACCACAACACTTGAGTTTTTGGTGCGGGTCTATTGAAGTCTATTACACACAAAACCCAATCTGCTATGGAAAATGTCCCTGACCCTTACCACAAAATGCACCGGCTCAAAATGCACAGTTGTGAACTAGATCCATAGGATACTATGTTAAATGGACTGTGCGTTCTGTAAAACTCACTAACAAAACGCACAGGTGTGAAACAAGGGTAAGAAAGGAACACTTAAGATTTTATACAAGCAACGCCAAAATTATATACCTCCAAAACTTATTTAGAGGCTCTCATGGGTCTTGCAGAGGAGGAAGATCAAAAACAGCAGTGTTTTTATCATCAATGTTTCGATGAAGCTCAGCCCATCTACCTCAACTGTTAAAAAAAATCCAGAAAAAACACATGATACAAATGTTATAAATTGAGTTGTAGTTCAGTGAGTAAAATAAGTATTTGATTCCCTACCAACCAACAATAATTCTGGCTCCGGCAGACTGGCTGTATGCTCATGTGGTACACAGATTAATCCTGTCAATTTAAGAAGGTGATCCAAATGACACCGTGTTATGTGTATGAAAGACACCTGTCCACATAATCTTTCTTCCATTCAAACCTCCCCATCATGGGCAAGGCCAAAGAGCTGTCAAAGGACATCACATGCACAAGATTGTAGACCTGTGCAAGGCTGCAGTGGGCTACAAGACCATCAGCAAGAAGTTCGGTGAGAAGGAGACAACTGCTGGAGTGATTATGCGCAAATGAAAGAAATACAAAAATTCCATCAATCGCCCTTGGTCTGGAGCTCCATGCCTCACGGGGTAAGGATGATCATGAGAAAAGTGAGGGATCAGCCCAGAACTACACGAGAACAGCTTGTGAATGATATCAAGGCAGTTGGGACCACAGTCAAGAAACAAACCATTGGTAACAATACGCCGCCATGGATTGAAATCCTGCAGCACTCGCAAGGTTCTTCCCCCTTAAGAAGGCACATGTACAGGCCCATCTGGAGTTTGCCAATGAACATCTAAACGATTCAGAGGAGGATTGAGAGAAAGTGCTGTGGTCATATGAGACCAAATTCAGTGCTTTGGCATTAACTTGACTCACCGTGTTTGGTGGAAGAATAAATGCTGACTATGTCCCTAACAACATCATCCCTACAGTCACGCATGGAGGTGGAAACATTATGCTTTGGGGCTGTTTTTCTTCTAAAGGTACAAGCCAACTTTGCCACACTGAGGGATGGATGGGGCCATGTATTGTAAAATCCTGGATGAGAAACTTCTTCCCTGAGCCAGAACACTGAAGCTGGGCCTTGGGTGGGTCTTCCAGCATGACAATGACCCAAAACATACTGCCAAGGCGAAAAAAAACGAGTGGCTCATGAAGTTGCACATTAAGGTCATGGAGTGGCCTAGGCAGACTCCAGACCTTAATCCTATAGAAAATTTGTGGAGGGAGCTGCAACTTCGAGTTGACAAGCAACAGCCAAGAAACTTTAAGGAATTGGAGAAGTTCTGTAAAGAAGAGTGGACCAAAATCCCTCCTGAGATGTGTGCAAACATGATAACCAACTACAAGACATGTCTTACCTCTGTGCTTGCCAACAAGGGTTTCTCCACCAAGTACCAAGTCATGTTTTGCTCGGGGATCAAATCCTTTTTTTACTCAGTGAACTGTAACTCAATTTATAACTTTTTCTCTCCAATTTTTCTGAATTTTTGGTTGATATTCTGATATGTGTGTATATGTGTGTGTGTGTGTGTGTATGTATGTGTATATATATATTTATTAGTGTGTGTATGTATGTGTATGTATATATATTAAATTGAAGTTCCATTATTAAACTGCCATGGTTTATTAATAACAATGTTGCACATCAGGGAGGAAAAACATTAAAAATGTCAGAAACCCACATTATTGTGCTGAATTTAAGGGAAAACAAAGACTTTTGTGTTGTATCTATGTGTTGTATATACCACTGCTCCTGTAGGCCTCATTTGTTAAAGGATACAAAAAGAGAATGGTCTGTGTTGCTCCATTCTAACGGTATGTGAATACTATGGCATAACTTGAGATGCATTAATACAGCAAATAGAATACTTTTAAAGTAGTCATTTTCTTGATGCATACATCATAATGTATATTTGTCTTGGATTCCGTCTCCAGAAAGGTGGCACAATCAGACATAGGTTTTATTGTTGGCTGGAAGGTGCTGAGTTGCCAGCGTGGAAGCTGTAGCAGCTGCCAGCAGTTGTCAGGCACAGAGATAGTGACGCAGCAGTGAAATGCAGGTGTTAAGGGACATTGCTCAGAGTGACTCATCATGATATCTTAGTTTATCAGTTGCTGAGGTTTTTAGTCTGTGGGTCAAACACCAGCAAAATTTTGCTGAGACCTCTCTTTGAAAGTTGCTTATTTTCACCCAATTTGGGTCACAGGGGTTACATAACACCCCATTAGATTTAATTCCCTGGTGCAGCTCAGCATAGGATACTTCCAAAGACTTTTTTTATTATCAATGTTCTGCAGGTAAAGCTGCCTGTGCAACATCACCCTTAGGGTCTCTGTTAACAACGTTTATTCACTTCAGTGCTGCTTCTATACCTATACAAGTCTATGCAAAAGCAGCTGAAGCAGGTTAACTGCACCTGCAATGAATTCTAATGATTTGTTTTTTTTGCAGGTAGAAAAAAAATGTGCCTTTATTACATGCATGCATTTTTTTTTTTTTTGCAGGTACCTGTAAACCATTGCACCAGCAGATTGCTGGTGGCATGCAGGTCTCCTGCAGACCTGTCAGTTTATCTGTTTGCCCGTACAGGATGTATGGGCACTTAGATATACTAACAGGAAGAGTCAGTGAACTGCCACGGCACTCCACAGCACCGTAGTAGTTCTTTGAGACCTTGTAGTTTGACTTGTAGTTTCTAATTTACAGAACATTG